GAACTTCATTTCACTTGCTTTACTTCATGATTTGTCACAGAGTCCATGTTCCAAGGTTGTAAAGAAATGAGTTGTAGTCATTTTATTTAGGGTTAGGAGGCCTTCTCCCCTACTAACATACCCCCAAAAAAAAAAAGAAAGCAAGAATTTTTTTTTGGATTTATCTTTCTATTTTACTTTATTTTATTTATTTAATAGAGAAGATATAAATGCCTTTTCAAAAAGATAAATACTCTCTAAAAGATAATAAAGGTGCTCTAAAGAGATAAGAGATGCTCTAAAGATGTTAAGAATGATGTAAAGATGATAAAGATGGTTTAAATATGATGAAGATGAGAATGATCTAAAGATGATAAAGATGATTATGAAAAGATGATTAAAAATGATCTAAAGATAATAAAAATAATCTAAGGATGATAAGAATGATCTAAAAGATGATTTTCAAAAGATGATTAAATCTAAAGATGATAAAAATGATATGAATGATCTAACATATGATAAAGATGGTTTTGAAAAGATATAGCCAAGAAACCTTAATTTTTGTGTAGATAAGACCTTTGCAAAAGTAGAGGATAGGATCGAGTCTAAGGAAGCAAGATAAAATGGCATCTTCCTTTTTGTTTATTCAATTTTTATCTTTTATCTTTATTTATTTTTATATTTCAGCAAGAACAAAGACTATTTCTGAAGGGATAAGGGAAATAATTCAAGGCATGCTGATAACGCAAAAATTAATTTTGATCAACTAAAAAAAGAAACAATCTAGAAAAAAATCTATTTTTTCTCTCTATTTCTAATTTTTTAGAATTTTAAAAAAGCCAAAAAAGCAATTAGAATGTCCTAAAAATCACCGAAAAAGTGGAAAAACTAGGCAACGGACTACCGAAAATTTTTCTAGGCACATCGTACAACGGGCTACATGACACGTGTCACCTCGGGCACTATCGCGCTACAAGTAGCGTGTCGGGCATGCGCAATACATTCTATGTTAGGCAGCACGGCAAGCCCGGATGAAAATTTCGGGTCTCTTGTCAGTTTTTTCAGTGTTTCTTGGCTTTTTGGATTTTCTATTTTTCTAAAAAACAGTTACTAAAAATTTTGTGAAGTATTTTTTCGGGCAAAAATACACAAATTTAGAAGTTCAAGGTCCCCACGATGGGAGCCAAACTGTTTACGCTTCGATCTGGGCCAATCTTTGGGATGAAATTGACTCAAAATCTTTGTAAAACTAAGTTATTTTTATGAAATAGTAAAGAAGCTGGGGTTGCTTGATATATAGGCTTAAGAATGGCACTGATCTATTCAGGTTTGATTCTTTCCTAAGTCCACTGGCACTGCCAGCTTCTAGATTTGTGTATATTACTTTCAAAATTCTTCTAAATCTTACCAACTAATGAATAACAGAAAATTACAGAAAAATAAACTACATTAATGAAAAAAATAAGCTAAATTAAGTAGAGAATGAAATACTAACCTTTTAGGGATCCGAAACTTAGAGTTTCGAGCTTGGCAGGCCACTCTTCTGGTGCCACCATCTTCTTTTTTTGGATTCATTTTGCTTGCTGGAGTTGGTATATCTAAGGGTCTTTCATCTAGATCTAGGGTTTCAAAGACTAGGGGCAAACTAGGGATTTTTAGGTAGAGTCTACTTAGGTTTTTTTTTTTAAGGTTTTCCTTAGTTTTCTAAGGTCTTTGGGATCTCCTAAGGTAAAATCCAAAATTTGGGATATTTATAATCTTTTTGAGATTTTTACCTAATTTTCTAGGAATTTCTTAAGGCTATTTTTTTCTATTTCTGAGTATTTTGGGGTATTTTTCCTAATTTCGAGATTTTCTCCTATTTTCTAAGGAATTTCTAGGGAATTTCTGTAGTATTTTGATCTATTTTTTATTGAGTATTTATAGGTTTGAATTAGGGTTAGGGTTGAAATTAATCAACCGTAGCTCGTAGCTCAATTAGGGTTAATCTAAGGCTTCTTCTTCTTCTTCTTCTTCTTTTTTTTTTTTTTAAAAAAAAAAAATTCTCAGATTTTTCCATATAATTTCAGAGTAAAAAATGCATCAAAACAGATTTTGGGTCGTGCGACACAGGCTTCGGTGACTTGTGATGCACGAAGCCTCCCGTCGCCCGCACGACACATTGAGCCCGTGTGGGTCGCATCAACTCATTTATCAAGGGCATTTGGTAATTTTTGGGCTCTAACCTTTTGAGGCTTATCTCTATTGATCTGTAGGTTCAATTCAGATAGTTCTTCGATGTTGGAAAGCTCTCGAGGTTTACTATAGCTTGGTATAAGTTTGGGCAAGTTTGGGACAATTCTATAAGGTCTAGGTTGCATATGGTCTACTAGGGTTTCTGTGATCATTTGGGTTCAACATTGGGATTTTTAGAAATTCCCTTAGCTATAATTTCGAGGGGAGTGTCTACAAAATGTATGTACAAAATAGGCCTTAAAACTAACTTTCTAACACTAAATTCGTAATTTTTACGAAAAATCTAGAGAGTACTCCTTAAAAGGCGGATTAAGATTTTTGTAAAAATATTTTAGGAAATTTAATAAAAATACACCTAACTTTTCGACAATTCAACCTTTCCATCTCATGGGTATGTGTATGTTGAAATTAAATAAAAAAGTAAGGGTAAACTATTACATAGTTGTTATATTATATTGTGATAATTTTTTCCAAATATTTTTGAAAATCTCTCTGACTCGAAATTGTTCCCCACTTCTAGATTGGCTATTTTTTTTTATTTTTTTTTCATTTGAGAAATTGACCAACATACCTATTAGAGACGCATTATTTAACATTGCTGAGTTTTGCATAAGGTGTTCACCTTATGCTATACAAGTAACACGTTTTTCTAAACTTTGCTGGAAGATGTAGTTCGGGTGTCGAGAACCATCTGCTAGCTTGAAAATCCATATTCAACCATAATTATGAATTTTAAAACTCGAAAAAGGTGTACTCGAGGTGATGTAGGAACATTGAAATATGGGAAATTATCACAAATATACCTTAATTTTTGTATATTTAGAAAAAAAAACCATAACTTTCATAAACCTCATCCACACCCTTTACTTTTTTATATTTTGGGTATTTTTTGACCAAAATAACTTTCAAGGTAGTCGTATTATTGTGAAGCCAATTACAGTACTCTAATTACCGTAAAAATTAATCCATGTTATATGACATTTTAAGTATCGTAAAAACTAATCCATATTATACGGCATTTTAAGTACCGTAAAAATTAACCCATGTTATATTGGTTTTAAGTACGGTAAAAACTAACCCATGTTATACGACACTCAAAATGCCATAAACTTTTTTCTCCTGTTCATATTTATCTCTTTTCATCTCTCTATTTTTTTTTATGTTTATCTCTTCTTTCTCTCTTTAATTCTTTTTAATATTTATCTCTTCTTTATCTCTCTAATTTTTTTATCTCTGCTTTCTCTCACTAACTCTCTTTCTCTCTATACTTACTTCATCAACTTAACAAACACGATTCCAAATACAAATCTCACTCCATCTAATTTTTTATAGGGGATAGGGTTGAAGGGAGTTTTCATAGGGGATGGTAAGGTACGCACGAGTTGTTATATAAATCTCCTTGGAGAGAGAAAGAGAGTTAGAGAGAAAGAAGTGATAAAAAAGAATTAAAGAGAGAAAGAAGAGATAAATAGTAAAAATATTTAGAGAGAGAAAGAAGAGATAAATATAAATAAGATGAAAGAGATAAATATATACAGTACAAAAGGGTTTACGACATTTCGAGTGCGGTATAATATGGGTTAGTTTTTACGGTACTTAAAATGGTTAGTTTTATGAGTTAGTTTTTACGGTACTTAAAATAGTTAGTTTTATGGGTTAGTTTTTACGGTACTTAAAATTGTTAGTTTTTTACGTCACTTAAAATGGTTAGTTTTACGGTACTTCAAATGTTGTATTACATTGGGTTAGTTTTTACGGCACTTAAAATGGTTAGTTTTACGGTACTTAAAATGTTGTATTACATTGGGTTAGTTTTTACGGTACTTAAAACGCCGTATAACATGGGTTAGTTTTTACGGTACTTAAAATGTTGTATAATATTTTAGTTTTTAAAATGACGTATAACATGAGTTAGTTTTTACGGTACTTAAAATGCTATATAACATTTTAGTTTTTGCGGTACTTTAAGTATTGTAATTGTGCTTCACGGTAATACGACTACATTGAAGGTTATTTTGGTTAAAAAATACCAAAAAATGAATAAAAAGGGTGTGGGTGAGGATTATGAAAGTTAAATGTTTTTTTTCTAGATAGACAAAAATTAAGGTATACTTGTGATATTTTCTCTTGAAATATATTGAAAATAATCGGTGTAATTATCTTGTTATAAGATACACTATTTTTAGGATTAGAAATATTTTTTTCTTTATACCATCCATCTTGAGATCGAGATGATCTATGAAAGGTTTTCCAACTTCAAATCACGCTTCTTATTAAATTTTTGAGATGCACTTTACTTCTATAGTATAAGATTGCAACCTTATATAAACTTTTGCCTTCAGCATTTTACATACTTGTCACTATTTCCACTCATGATCATGGGCCTTTTGATGAGTATTTCAAATTAAATCAAATAAAAAATAGTAGGAGTAAAATGATAAATAGTTCACCCCTCAGTATTTTAATAAGGGAGAGGTTTGTACCCCTCTAATTTTAGAGACTAAAGTTTTGGTGTCAGAAACCTTATAATATAGATTGACGATCTATTTTTATCCAAACTTATGCAATTTAAAATTTTAAAAATAGTAAAGATCCAGCTAAAAACTTAAACATCTAATTTTTTTTTAAAAGAGTGTTATAAAATGCATTATTTTTATAACCTAAAGTTCTTTTTTTTTCATTTCCGCACATATTAAAAGCAACATCACTAGGAAGGTTGAGCAAGATGACTAGGAAGGTTCTGCATTATCGAAACACTCTCTTCTACATAAGGTACACCTTCCTTGAATAGTATACGCCTGTAAGGCATATAAACTTTTCCCTTTTAGTAAACCTCTCTTCCTCTTCCCATCGCCTCAGTCTCGCCATCCACCCTCTGCTTCACCTCACCCTTGGCCCGTAACAAAACTACTTCTCTTCTCTCTCTCTAAAACCACACATCCTCTTAAAACTTTCTCGTCAGCCCTAAACCTAAACCCTTATCGTAGACCCCAGGTTCTCTCATTCTCTCTATCTATCTTTCTCTCTCCCGAAAACCAAAACCTTGAGCTTGGTGTGTGCCTAATGGGGAGCTCCGAAAATTGTAATGGCTCCTTTCACCATGAGTCAGGGCCCAGAGCTCCAAGTTATGGCGTCGAGAAGGGAGTCGACTTTGCCAACTACTTTTGCACTTACTCCTATCTCTACCATCAGAAGGAAATGCTCTCTGATCGTGTTCGCATGGACGCCTATTACAAATCCATCTTCAGAAACAGGGATCACTTTGAAGGAAAGGTAATTTCTTTCTCTCTCTTCCTCCTTCTCTCTCGATCCCATTGCGTTCTGCTGGAAACAGCATTTCTCTCTCCTTGTTGGTTCTCTCTGTGATTTCATGTTTTCAATGAGTTTTACATTTTTTATTGGGATTATGGGTGTTTTTCTATCTTGTCCATATACTTAAATGCGTTTTCCTCTTTTTGGGTTCCTCAATGCTTTCATATCTTTAAAAGAAATTAGAATATCGGTTAAAGATTTTTCTTTTCTCCCCATTTTCTGGTATAATGAAGGAAGGTTGCTCATATCTCAGCTTGTATCTTGAATGTTTGATGCATGTAGTTGTTAATATTCATAGTTTGAGGTATACGAGAGGTTTTGTGGGGAAATGCCTTGGGACGTGGATGTTTAAATGATGATGTCAACTATGTCTAAATATTGCAAAAATCAACACTTGCGAAATCCATATTCATCAATTTTTCTTCTGTTTTCAAAGGTGATGCCATCAATGGATAGGATAGAACAGGTGGTTATCGATGTGTTTGTGGGTAAAATAGGTGGGGTGAAGACTTACTAATTAAACATTTGCAGATTTTGGTTTGGTGATGATTGGACTAGGTGTTGCAGTTTTTTTTTTTCCTTCTTTTCTTTTTGTTTGTATTACAGTTCCCTAAACAGTAAATAGAAAGCTCATATAAATGAAAAGAAGATTTGCTTTAGAGCAATGCCGGACAAAGTAGAAGGAGATGGAACCAAGAATTGTAGAGAAAAACAAATGTTACGATGAACTTTATGTGCATAGTACGATTCGAGGTCAAGAATTATAACAGTGGTTTTTGAAATATGTAAAGTTGTTTTGGCAATTTTCAATAAGAGCAAAAAGTGGGCTCCACATGATGATCTTTATTGTCTATGAATGTTTTTCCATCTCTTGTCTCTTAAAATATATTTTGGTTAATTTCTAGGAAAGTGGCTCTCAATTTTACCATTTTATTTATTTATATTTATGGGAAGAGCTTTCTTATCTTATATGTTTTTCATTTCCATAAATTCAACTTGTATTTAGTAATCTAAAACGTTTTTATATCTCATAAGTTGTATTTGGCAAAGATTGTTTTGGATGTAGGCACCGGAAGTGGAATACTAGCAATCTGGTCTGCACAAGCTGGAGCAAAAAAGGTGTATGCTGTTGAAGCAACCAAAATGTCTGAACATGCTCGTGCACTTGTAAAAGCAAATCATGTCGAGGACATTGTTGAGGTTATTGAGGGTTCCATGGAGGATGTAACTTTGCCAGAGAAAGGTGAATTACTACTATACAAAACTTATCTTTCTTTTCATAGCTATCCTATTTATGCTAATTGTTTGAGGTTCAACTAATGGATTTCTTTCCTTGAGGTTGTCTTTGCCAATGGTGCCATTATGCAAGAAATCCAAGGTTGTTTAATAATTTTGGTTTTCTTTTGGGCAGTTGACATCATTATCTCAGAATGGATGGGTTATTTTCTATTACGCGAATCTATGTTTGATTCGGTGATTTGTGCCCGTGACCGCTGGCTAAAATCAACTGGAATAATGTATGTTGTTTACTTGGCTGCTTTATTTATTTTCTCTACTATCAGAGAGTAATTGTTAAAAAAAAAAAATGTTTAAATATCTACCACGTTAGTATCAAAAAAACAATAAAAACAAATATCTACCATGTTTCTTTTATAAAATTGTCTGCATCATGTGATATATCATGTATGGATAAGATCGTTTTGGTATTATAGGAAAGAAAAAGCATGCTTACCATTTTTAGTCAGCTTTAGTAGGTCATAGTCGTATGAGCCACATATATATATGTGAAGGTCACTTTCTCAGTTATTGCTTAACTAAAAGTGGTAAATTTCACATTATCTGGTGTGGAATTAGCTGAAATGTCATTTGGGATGTGAAGGATATAGGTATTCTATACAAATCATTAACCCATATTATTTTAAACTCAGTTTTTCTTCATAAGGGTATTTTTATCTTCAATACTATCGCATCTATATATTGGCTCTCTGTCCCCAATTCAAGCAATGAGTCAGTTATTGCTCTCTCTCATTGCTTAGAACTTATTTTATATTGTATCTTCGGAGCCATTGAAATGCCAGCTTCCATGACCGTTATCCTTTGTTAGGTAATGTATTCAAGTCTAGGTTTGCAAAGAGTATTTAAATCTGCCGACCTGAGCTCTGTATTTCTGGCTTTCATACTTTATCACTTTTAAATGTACATGGGACCATCTTTTCAAGAGCTAAGGGACTTTATTCTGCTCCTTAGTCCCAATTTCCAAATGACATTAGGTTTGAAGGTTGTTTGGGCAGATACAACTTGTGCCTCTGCTGGTTGGAACTTGTGAACCTTTTTGGCTATGAAACAACTGGAATTCTTTTTCCTTTGTGGAGTAAGAGCTGATACTACAATTTTTTTACGAGTTGTGGAGATTAGATGTTCATTCATGCTGTCCTCTTTAGACATCTTAGTGAATGAAAGATGAATTTTGAAGTGTCAATGTATTGATAATAGGTTGCGGGCATGGGTTTCATGAGCCTAGGAGATACTCTTGAAGAAAGAATGTGTAAAACTTAAAAGCTTTCATTCAAAGCATATAGAGAGGCCTGGACCAAATGTGGATATTCGTTGTTTTGTATGGATATGTCTGCGTGGATTAATGGGCAAGTTGAACTTCAATATATTCTTCGGTTAATGTTCTTATTAACATTATTTATTTTAGGGTTGTTGACATTTTTTTGTAGGTTAATGGTGCAACTTATTGATTGTTTGATGGGAAGATGGAAATTTATGGTGTCTAAATTTGTTGTTAGTTGTCTATGACGATGCTTCAAATTGTGGCGACTACAACCGCTATTGGTCATTGATCACCCAGATTTGTTCGAAACATCATTTTTTTACTGCTTACTTCATTGACCTTTAGAGAAAGTTAGTTAGATGATTGCGGTAATATGAGTGATGGGATAAAGCAAAATAATTTATTTTGTTTCTAATGCTTTCTACTATTCTCTTGATAAAAAATTTTCAATTTTATGAGGAACTTTACATATAAAGGTTGCCATTGAGGGGCGATGTTATAAGGCTTGCTACTTCATTTCTTATTATAAAAAAATCATATCATACAAATCAGTGAGTCAAGACTTGTTGAATATGACTCGGACTCGCTCGAGTTACTCAAAGTTGCCTAGTGGCAGGCTGCCTAGGAATACTCCATCAGACTGGGTGAGGATGGACCTGCCTAGGCAATGTGGACTGCTTTTTTCTAAACTCATTTGATTTCACATTTATGCAAGCCACAAGTTCTGTATAGTGCTGATGTCGAATGGCACCATACAACTACAGATGTATTTTTCCATTTTGGAGGGGATCAGAATCCTCTTTTCATCAAATCAATGACATTATGTTGGTGGTAAATGCTCTATCTTTTGCCACCTCCCACTTGACCATGTTTGCATTAGCACAGTCATGTAAAAAGCCACAACAAGCAGTGTTTTATATTCTATTTGGAAAGTCGTCCGAACTCCTTTCCATCCTTATTTTATGTAGTGAAATGGAGTGCGACATGACATGCATTTGCATCCTTTGCGTGTGATGCTCCCAAATGCAACATTAGTTTTTTTTAAGAATTGAATTAAGTTGGGAGCCTGTAGAATCTGCCTATTTGGTACCAATTCTACATAGATGTTTTATGTCTTTTTTTATTAATGTTTAGGTTATAAACATTTCATAATACAATATAAGAAACATCGTACTATATCATTTGTATGGGGAAAAAAAATAATGTGGAGTGATTTTTATATATTTTTTTTTGAAAAAGTGAAGTGTATACAGGTGTTAAATAAAGGTGTGGTTTCTATAAGGTTGCAACCTTAAACAATCCAATTAAGGTGCACCTCCAAATTTTATCATAACATGTAATTTTGGTGTAAAAAATTCTTAGGATTTTCTCAAAATCTATTTTCATATCTAATTATAAAATTTTAAACTCCAAAAATAGTTAAAATCAAGTAGATCTATAAACATATGAAAATCTGGAAAACGGATAGTCTAGATAAGCTGTTGCAAAATGAACAATTTTTGGGACTCAAAATCTTTCTTTTTTCATATTCATACATGTCAATGTCGAGATGATCAATTAGAGGGCTTTTTAACATTAAAACAACCTTTTCCAATGGATTTTTGAGGTGCATTTGTAAATCTACATTTTAAGGTTGCAACCTTATATAAACTTTTTCCTTAAATAAAAGCAAGGGGATAATAAATACCCTCAAGTAGTTGGTTTAAGATTGGCATCCATTTGACCAAGCAAGGGGATAAAAAACACCCTTAAGTAGTACGTTTAAGATTGGCATCCAGCAGGTCAAGTGCTCTCAATATACTGTGATTTTTATATAGTGAATATTGGCCCAAAAGATGGTTGTTCTTTTATATGCTCTGTGATGGAGGGCAGGGTTCGTTCTTTCCACTTTGAATATTATTCTATCTTTTTCATCCCAAATTGATTAGGTGGTAGCAAGGACGGAGGCTGTCCATGGGGTGTCTAGGGTGGAGTACATGGGAGAAGAAATTGGTAGGTTGAATTAGTCATGACCCATGACCATTGGGATGAAGAGGTGTTTGTGGGTTTCCTATAGGCTTGCTTGCAAAGCGTGCATCTGTTTGGGAGAGAGTCCCTTTCTTTGCGAGCGGGTCCATTGTTAATTTATTAGAGATCGCTAACTTGTTAAGGTCTTGTACACTTGGGGGGATGGTTCAAGTCAAACTTTGTTGTGGAAAATGTGGGGTTTTGTTGTATCTTGGAAAGTGAGGTAGAAAGAGGAGACTGAGAAAATGGCTGATTGGGCAGGGGTTTAGATGACTTTGTCCTGTCCAAATCCTGGAAAGGACTACAGGGCTTACAAGAGGTTTAGGAGGTCCTTAGTTTCTTGGTTGTTGTGCAATCTTTTGAAACTAGGTTTCCAAAGGGGTCATCACTAGTATTCTCATAGAAATGTGCCACTATTCTTTGCTTTGCTGTGACTTTGGACAGACTTGGCTAGCAGGCCCGGAGGGATTGGTTGGCAATCCAAGTGTGTGATAAAAAATGCAACTTGTTCCCATCATGAATTTTGAATATGACACTTTCCAAGAAATCACCTTGACTTTCAAGGAAGCTCTTCCAGGTTACAGAGAAATTGGGGTGACAATTCCCTTAGGAAACCAACATGGGGGCTGTGTGCCATATCTATGACATTTGACAGTGAGCCAAAGTTGATTGGTTTGGGTTGAGAATATCGACCACCATTTGCCCAAGAGGGTGATGTTTGACTTTTCATATACCCAAGCTGCCCTCTATTTTATATGAGCCACTTGCTTCCTGGTGACTAAGTGTATTTCCTGGTTGTACTGGATCCTACCCACGATATAGTTGCATGAGGCGTTCCAAGTTGGTAGATACATTGGCCGGCATGTGGACGAGGGACAAAAGGAAAATGGATATTTTTGGTAGGGTGTCCTTTATGAGGGTGATCTTTCCCCTAACGAAAGATATTTGCCTCTTGAAGCTGCAAGTTGTCTTTAAAAATTTTCGATGATTGGGTCCCATAGGCATTTTTGAGGTTTCCCAAGGCAAGAAGACGCAGATATTTCAATGGGAGCTTATTAGTTCCACAATCAAGTCACACAAAATATTCTTCAAGGGATTATAAGCTGATCAACATCCCCATCATTATTTTGAATTTGGACATGTTACTTTCATTTCAATGGCCACTTCAAAGCATCCGAGAAATAGACATGGGAAATCAACTTCTTCAAGGTCTTGTGTGCGTATTGTTGATGGCATATTTCATGGCCATTTCTTGAGGGTCTGAAGCCAGTTTGGACTTGTCTTTGGAATAACTTGGATATGAATCTATTGGATACTTCTCCCATGATGACAAAAAGGAAGAGCGTGAGAGGGTCTCCTTGCCGAGGGCCTCTAGAGGGTCGACAAACAACTGCGAGGAGTGCCACTTATGAGATCAAGACAGGAGGTTGAAGAGATATACATCCTTTTATGTGCATGTTCCACTTTGCACCAAATCCCATCTTCCTAAGTACTTCCTTCATCTAGAAAGGTCAATCCACATTATAGTGGGCTTTCTCCCAATCTGGTTTTAGGATAAGTCTAGGGCTTTCCATGATGCCAAGAGTGGATCATCTCATGCACAATGAGGGCTCCATCTAGGATTCGCCTGTTGTTGACGAGGTCAGATTGGTTTGGGGAGATGACATGGTCAAGGACTTCCTATGGTCTAGGTTACTAGTTTGTATGAAGATAGGTTTGGGGAGATGACATGGTCAAGGACTTCCTATGGTCTAGGTTACTAGTTTTTATGAAGAATTGAGCATACTAATGGGTCAGAAGTCCTTGGTTTTCTTCTACACCTTTGATTTTTGGAATTAGGGCAATGAAAGAAGCATTCATAACCTTGTACACTTCACTCTCAGGTGAATCTTGTTAAAGAAAGCAAGCACATCAGGTGCCAAGATATCTCAAAGTTTGTTGAATACTGCAAGCGAAAAGCCATCCGGCATAAGAGCTTTATACAGATCCAGGTTGGTGATGGCATGCATGACTTCATCTTTTGTGAAGGGTTGTTCAAGTCATAAGGCCTGTTACCATGGGACCCTGAGGAAGCATAGGTTGACCATATGTTGGTTGGGATATGGTGCTAGTGGGGAAAATGTTTCGGAAAAAGGAGACAATGGTATTGAAAATTTTAGTGGGTTCTTGGCAGGTGGTATTACCCACCTTGAATTGGCTTTGTGCCTACAATTAGTGATTCTATGGAAAAAGTCTATGTTCCTATCCCATGCTTTCAGCTATTTAATTCTAGACTGGGATGCTAGAAGGTTTCTTAATTTTTTTAAACAATGAAGCATTTGGATTTGATCTTCTGCCTTCCATTTTGTTTTGGCTGAGAGAGCTTTTGGATTCTTCCAAGTGGTTGAGGTTATCAATTTCAGTTAGGAAGGATTCCTTGGTGAAGTTGAAGTTTCCTGTTAGGTTGCAGATCTAGTGTTTAACAACTATTTTAGTAACTCCAGTTTTTTTTGAAGTTTGAATTCCCTCTAGCCATGCTTTGTGAAAGAGGACCACCAGTGGTGTTCCATGCTTTCAAAATATGGTTATTTGAGCCAGCATAACTGGACGTGAAAAGTTTTTAGGTCTGAGTGGCTTGATAGGGTATATCAAGAAGGATAGATTTGTGGTTGGATGTGGGTATGGCTATATTCGAAATGAATCTATTGGAGAGAATTAGGTGTGACACCAATAGGCGATAAAATGATAGAGAGTAGACTTAGGTGGGCTGACCATATGTGGTGCCGATCAAGTACAACACCTGTTAGGAGGTGTGAGTTAGTTCAAGTGGAAGGATTGAGAGGGACAAGGGGTAGACCCAAAAGGACGTGGTTAGAAGTAGTCAGAGAGGATATGGGGACTTATGGCCTCATTAAGGATAAGGCCTTTAATCGAGTAGAATGAAAAACCAAGATTCATGTTGCTGACCCCAATTAATTGGGAAAAGGCTAAAATGATGATGATGATGTGGGTATGGCTATGGTGAAGGAGTGGGTCTCCAGGAAAAAGCCATTAGGGAACCTACGTAATTCAACAATCCTTGTGACCTATATGATTGAACAAGGTGTAAAGGAGCCACTGACAGGCATGTCTATGAGGTGATTTTTGAAAATGAAGTTTGAGAAACTTGCCATGCTTGCTGTGATTCTCCCATTTGTATTGGTTTTGTAGGACCACCTGGTAACATTATAGCCTCCCCCATTGACCTAAGGTTGGGAGGATAGGCGGCAATATTGTCTAGTTTTTTCCTAAAAGAATCCCTCAACTAAGGTCTATGGGGCTCATACATTGCAGTGAGTTCCATTTGAAATTATATGAGTTTCTAAACAGGCTTTTAGACATTGAGAAAGAGTGGATGCTAGCCTAAGAGCAAGTGGCTGGAAGGATTGTAGATGCCCCAAATGCCACCTAAGGGCCCTTGAGCCTCCAAGCTTTCCCATTGGCAAGGCCTTCTCCTCCACACTTTCAAACTAAGAGCAGTGTGGAGTCGGAGGTCTTAGTTTCGAGTATGGCTGGGATCTTTAGGGAGTGGTCAATGAAATAGTTTAGGTCTGCTTCCGTTTTATGTGAGTCCTTGGCCTCTGATGTTCCAAACTAGGACTCTCATGGTTATAGAGTTGGAGGACGTGGAGGCTCAGTACCTAATGGGCATCTGAGGAGTTGGTTTTTATGGTTGAGATGGACAGGGCTGGGTGGGGGAAACCCTTTGGAGCAATTGATATTTGAAGAGAGGTTTATGAAAAGTTTAGGTCTGCTTTGGTTTTACGTGAGTCTCTGGCCTCTGGTGTTCCAAACTAGCACTTTTATGGTTATAGAGTTCGAGGAAGAGGAGGCTCGGTTACTAATGGACATCTCGGGAGTTGGTTGTTAGGGTTTAGGGGGACATGGTTGGCAGGGGTGACCCTTTGTCATTATTGATATTTCTAGAGAAGTTTATGAGTTCTCATTCCTTCTGGTTTTACCTGTGGTGTGGGTTTTCTCGGAATTGGTTTGCTTTTTCCCTGGTTCAAGTCCATTGGGGGCCCATCATTTAGAAACCCCACTGTGTGTCCAGGTTGATGCATTCTATCTCTACACTGTCCACATCAAGATTCTACTATGGACCTCCTCCTACTTCTTTTGACATGGTTATTTGGCTCAGTGAAGGAGGAGAGAAGTCTTTCATTAACTATGAGAAATGGGTGGTGGTGGGAGGTGGGGGATTGGCTGAGATAAGGTGTGCAGGTGGCGAACATTGGGGGTTCAGGAGAAATAATGTACAGGGTGGGATCATTTTGGAGGGTGCTGGGCGGATTGGGTGGGTGAGGTTTGGAGTGGAATTACGTTAGATGGGAACATGGGGTGGATTGGTGATGGATAGGGTGGTTCTTCAAGATCGTGAGTGGTAAGGAGAGGGAGAGAGAGAAGAGGAGAGGATCTGTGGCAGTCAGATTAATGATTTCTGAGAAAGTGATGAGTGGGCTTGGCAAGTTGCTTAAGGGAGATATGAAAGGGTAAGAAAGGCTGCCACCCTGTGGGGCATTGGGATGGGGGGCACTAGGATGGGCATGAGGGGGAGGGAGTGCAAGTAATTTATAATTTATAATGGTATTTAGTACATTCTGGATTTCAGAACTTAGTGCTTGCGTGTCAGTCTAAATAGCATTGAATAGTTAATCCGACATGCAGGTAAATTGAGTTCAAGTCTTTAGTGTTGTGACCTCGAATTTCATAGGTAAATTTATCAGTGAATGGGCAAACCTTGTCCTTTATGAACAATAAGTGTGGGTGTTATGTGTGCATGCTGGGGACAGATTACACTGAATGGCAATTGGAATTAATTATGATGGGGTAGGCTAACATAATGTGTTTTTAGATATATCACATTTGGATAGACCGATTTTTTTCCAGGCTAAGTATTTTAATGTGAAACTTCTTACCATTTTTGCCCATGTTTGTGATTTCTTTACTGTTGACCATGCATCATGGATTATTATGATTGAGATATATTTCAGTAGAGATCTATTGAAGAATTTTTGTTCTTATATATGTCTAGTTCATAAGAATGCTCCTTTTAATTCCTATATTGTCATCATTGGATATCCTGGCTGTGTCAGGTATCCAAGTCATGCACGCATGTGGGTAGCACCTATCAGATCAGGTTTGGTGGAGCAGAAGCAGAGTGATTATGATTCTGCAATGTCTGATTGGTTCAATTTTGTAACTGATACAGATGCCTATTATGGGGTCGACATGAGTGTTTTAACAAAGCCTTTCCGCAAAGAGCAAAATAAATACTATCTGCAAGTTAGTACAAAATTTTAACAGTCACTACATCTGAATCATTATTATTTCTAAAATGTTTATTTCTACGTGTTATTACACCATGATGAAAAGAGGGATATTTTATGCTGTTTGTGTTTATAGTCCTGTGAAGCATAAAGTTTCTCCCTATGCTTAAAGTTTTTACACCTTTTAGAATGCATTGCACATTTACTTTCGTAAGGAAAAGGCCTATGGATATGCATAGTAGTTGTGATTTCTTTCTCGTGATTGCATTCTTTCTTGACTGACTTCTTGTCCATTTTCTTTTTTTATTACCACAATGTTATTGATTGATAACCGAAATGAAGCTTTGTTAAGTGACTAAGTCTTTTCTACATGTTATCATATGGATTACGAGAGGTTGTTGCAAGATCTGGATATATCTTATATTCTGGAAAACTTGTATTATTGAAGTGCAAAGGATAAAGGTAAAGCAGGGAAATCATTTACGGCGTCATCTTGGTTACTGCTTTCATCTAGTAGAGATGAAAAACTGCATATCGAGGATGGGACATGTTGAAGTTTAAAGTTAAGCGAGCATCTAGACATGTTTGCCTTTTCACTTGGATGTGCTTACATTATGGCTTCATGAGTCACCTGCATTACATGTCGTTCTAGATACCATTAAAGAACTGCAAACATTTATTGAATTCAATCATTAAAAAAAAAAATAATAACAAGGACACGGTGCCAGGCCTAGAGTGACAAGTGACTTGTGGTTCCATCTCAGGCTAAGTTGCTGTCTTTTTGGCATTTGGTTTGTGGGTTGAATGTGAAAGAAGGGAAACAAGTGGGTTCTCTGTGACCTGACCACCTTAATGGTGGTTTTGATTTATTACCGGCAATAACATGTTTCAGTTTTCTATAAATGGTGTGACCAACTGATTATTGTTGGTTATTCTTTTAAGGGGATACAAAAACCTAGTGATGAGACATTTTTTTCAGGCCAGTTGATGACAATAAAGCATCTGCTTTTGTATATAAATCCTGTACCAACCCTAATCTATTTTAATGGATATAATGACTGTATAGTCCTATCAAGAAAATGGACTAAATGGACTAAATTGATGATTGATATTAGATGAGATGCATGCGGTTTAATAGCGTCATATTACTGGTTATGTATATGATGCGTTCTGTGCGCATTGTCCTGGGCTCCTAGCATATTAGTACCAGTATCAATTCCAATTTCCATTCCCATGTCGCGTACAATTCCTAGCAACTATGGCTTGAAATGCCATGACCTATGAAATAGGATCCTATGGTGGAATTCAGGACAAAGCACAGGGCGCTTTTTATATTGTTTAAGCTGTAGTAATGGAAGTGATGCTGCACCTCCTCTGATAAATTCAAGGGTGGAAGGGCCTCATATGTGCTTTGATTATGGTATTTTATACTAGTAGTGTGACTCGTCCATCCTGCTGTGACTCATCATCTATTCCTAAGGATATTTTGTTGCTGTAGCTATTCTTGCCCTTACGTCAGGCTGACTCAGGATAAGTCAAATATGCAAATACATGTTTGGCTGCCTCCCGCACACACATGCATGCATGCTCACACAACCACACACGCATACAGTTAAAAATATATAATCAATCGTGCTATGCAATCCTGTGGGTCCGCACTATGTATGTGGTCTCATACAAGTCCACCGCTTTTGATTGGAGGAGGGATCCATGAAGTCTCCATAATGCCTCCAAAACATTCTCCTTCAGATAAATATTCATTTGGGGCTCCAAATCCCCTCAATTGTTGAATGGATACATTGCGAGCATTTTTGGAGCCCCCAATCGCTTTTTATTTTTATATTTTTAATTTAAAGGGAAAATTAAAACACTGGAGTGGCAAAATTTTGGTAACTTCCTGGGAAGGAAGGAGGCCCTACAAGAGACAAGAGTCTAGACCTCACAGAAGAATCTAGAGACTGTATCCCTCTAGAAAGGAATAGGAGCATAGAGGCCAAAATGGATCACCAAAATATACTGAAACATGAAAAGATCTTCGGTCGCCAAAGATCTAGGGTCAAATGGCTGAAAGAGGGTGACAAATATATAACCTTCTTCTATAAAATCTGTGACTCTTGCTGAAGCTCACTGCGACCACCATCCTTCAGATCAAAATGGGCAATATGATATATGATGAGCCTAATTGGATCGATAGGGTTGTAACCCCATATTTTGAGAATCTCTTCTCTACTCACTACCAGGCTAGATCTAGGATTTCTATATTTAATTCATTCTTTTTATAGGGGGAGGGCCAAGTGGTGAACAAGCCCTTATAATGAATGTGAGATTCGTAGGGAAGTGGCAAAACTTGGCCAAGATGAGTTCTCAGGCCCAGACCGTTTCCCAATAGCCCCAATGACACTAGATATCCTTCCTTTCTACTCGGAGTTTTATCATGGAGGGATCATTCGTATGGGGATGAAGTCAACCTTCATTGCTCTGGTGCCTAAGCTGGAGGGAGCAAAGTAGCTGAAAGATTTCAAGCCAATAAGCCTTCTCAATAGTTCATACAAAATTCTGTACGAAAGCTCTGGCTTCCCCTGTGTTAAATCCTGAATCTCCCAATCCAAGGTGCCTCTTTCCAAGTTCGGCAAAGCTTGTTTAGAGCTCTGATTGCCCATGAGTTTGTCATGCCAGCTGCCATTCAAAAGTCCCTGATCCGGTCCTAAAAGGTGAAAGATGATATCGACTGGGCTGTTCTTGACCAGTTGTTACACTGACTGGGTTTGGAAGTAAATTTAGGTCCTGGATCAGGGGTTCCATAGTCTTTCTGTTCTTGTTAGTGACTGCCCCCTGGGATTCTTGCCCTCCTCAAAAGGTTTTTGTCAAGGAGACCTCTGTCACCTATTGTTTTCAGGGTAGAGGTTTTTAGTAAAACTATCACAAGACTGTTTGATCACAGTCTACTCCAAGTTTTCAGATCCTCTAGGCAGAGGCCATCTGTCCTCCACCTGCACTGTGCGAATGACACCTTAGTCTTCTGCACATCCAACTCTTAGCAGGTTGGCAACTTATGGTTGTTCCTTGGTGTTTTGAAGTTTCATAGGCCTTAAGATAGCTCTGGTGACAACTAAACTCATAGGGGTTGATGTTAGGCCTAAAACCGCATTGGAGTTGGTCAAAAACAGTGTTAAAAAATTCGGCCGCCTGGCTGCCTAGGTGGCTGAAGGCCTTTCCTGCCTGTTTAAGGGCCTAGGTAGGGTGCCTAGGCGTTTTGTACGTGGGTGCTTGCCTAGGCTCCCAGTGCCCTTTGGTGAAAGGGGGGAAATATGCCCTCCACCAAGGGCAAACAAATGTCATTCTCCCCCCTCGAAGAGGGGAGGAAGGGTTTAGGGGGGGCTTGTAAGCCCCCAAAACCTACTTTCCTTACATTTGAGAGAGAAAAACTCCCCTAAATTTTTGAGTTTTTTTGAAGATTAAAAATTTGCTCGAAGTTTTTGATTTCTTGCAAAGTTGAAAAGTAATTAACCCGATACTTTTTGTGGGTTGATTTTGTTGTGAAAGAAGACTTTTGGCTTTCACTCTGATGATAATGGCATGGAATCATCATCATCAGAAGGTGGCTTTGGTGGTGGTGGCGGCAAGTCCTTGTTGGTAGTGATGATGAAACTCAATTACCAATCCGAGTCATGATCACATCTGATGTAATTTTGGGAGTATGGAGTTGGACTTTTTTTTCGTTTTCTTTGTTTCACTTGGCTATGATGAATTGATGTTGTGTATTGTTAATTTTGGAAAGTGGGTATTGGCTTATATTGGCCATCTTTCTTTCTTTCTTTCTTTATGTATATCGGGGATTTTGATAATGTGTTTTACTGGATTTTGATACTAGTAACCGGAAGCACATAATCACGAGTGGCTAGAAAATTCCTATGGTAGGAAGCTTCATCTGTAGTTCAATACATTGCATAAAGTAGGACTCGTGATTACTGCATTCTAGGAATCTCACCCCACAAGCTGGAACCGCATCGGAAATCATCATAGGCTCTGAAGTATCCATATCCAAGAATCCTTACTATTGGAATTGATGTATTGAATACGCTTAGCCAAGGCTCCCTGGTATTGGATTTGAGGTCCTCGACAGTCTCCTAGTATTGAAATCGCTGTATTGAGTGGCCTGAGTCACAGTTCCCCCATAGGTATTCGAGTCAAGGTCGCATGCCCTTAAAACTAGATTTGACGTCATTGAGTTCTAGATTGTATAAATAAAGTAAAAATACTTGATTTATTAATAATAAAGTTTTAAAAACATGATAATTGTTTTGGGTTTTCAGAATTTAGGAATGATGTGAAGTAGATTTTTTTGACACCCATAGAGCTTTTATACACCAATCATATATTAATCTTAATAGTAGATTTTAAATAACAAATTATTTCACTTCTTTGGTAGGGGAAGTCATGTTTGTGTTTACGAGACATACAAATATTGACGTATATATAATTGGAAATGAGATTTTATTTTTGAAATGTATACTTCGAAAATGAGATTTATCGAATATGGATTCCACATAACTCAGATCAATATTCTTAAAAATGAGATTCCATGTCGATCGCATCACAGTTTTTTGCACATATGAACTAGGTATTTGATGCTATGGAATCTGAGTTCCAAAAAAACCAGATCGAGATTCTGTAAAGGTGGAATCGAGATTTTTAACTTTAAGGAATCGGTTACCATGACGATTTGTTGATCAAATCACCGAATCAAGATTCTGAAGCAGAATTGTCATTTGTGGTGGAAGATTCTGGCGACCATATTTTAGTCTGAAAAGGTCTAGGGGCCTAGGTAAAGGTTTTACACACTACTACTTGGTAAATGGTGGTGGCACTTTGCTAACCAAGAATCTAACTGTGGCAGCAAGTGCTCCAACACATGTATGGTTACCCAAGGGATCAGCCAATACTCGTGCCTCTGGTCTATTTTACTAGTTAGATTTTGTTCAAGGCTAAAACTAGGATCCTGATCAGACTGTGGAAGGATCTTTCGGTCTGGGAGTCTAATTTGGAATTGCTCTTTCCAGGTTTTTATAGTCTCTTGCCATGACCGATGTCACTGGGGCTTACTCTTATGAAGTTATAGGAGATCAGAGGATCTGGGTCCCCAGGTTCAGTAGGAACATGACCTTGAAATACCAGACCTAGTGGCTTTGCCGGATCTTTTTAAAAACACACTATATCCCATGAATTGGTAGAGATAAGATAATATGGACACTGCCTCCTCTGGCTGTTTTTTCTGTCTCCCCTCTCTACCACCCCCCGACTGAAGCAGAATAACCCTGATTTAAGTATGGCATGGTTATGCCCCAAACAGTTCAACTTTTCACTGCATACTTTTCACCCCTGCACCTATCCTTGGTACGTTCATGTTGGTGCACCTCCATTCTAGCTACGATTTGAGCATCTGGTTGGAGAGCAATGGATGGATATTTTGAGAGCCAAGAATCTCGAATAGATGGGGTCCAGGTTGGAATCATATCAACCATGGTGTCTTTGTGAAATTGGGAAGACATTCTAGCAATGTTTCAAAGAACTGTCCGCCACGTGCCTAGGCACCGAAGGCCCTATGGACGGCACTTCTAGGCCTAGGCGGCCCGTTCTGGGTTGATGTACCTGGGCCCTAGGCGGGGGCCCAAGGACGTGGGTGTTTTTTTATTTTATTTTTAAAAGATTTAAAGGGATAATTTTGACCCTTCAAAAAGGTTTAAATAGGTTATGAGCGGTATTTTCAGCCCTCTAAGTTAAAAGAACAATTCCATAAACCTTCAATCACGTAGCTATACCTATTTTTGAGAATCAATAGAATTTTTGGTTGTTTGAAGAAGCTTCCTAAACTTTTTCACTTATTATGGAATATGAAAAGTTGGAGGCTTTTACTAATACATATTCTATTAGAGTTTTAAATTTTGTATGGTTTGAATTTTTAAATTTTGAATAAGTTTATTCTCAACATGCGATATGTCATATCAGTGTTTTAAAATGCAGCCGCATTGTCGCGTATGCGGCCGCATCAGGCAATTTGCGCTAGGCACCGTGTCAAAATTGACTGCATATGCGGTTTAGAGAGTTGCGTCTGCATATGCGGCGCAACTCTCTGCATCAGAGCCATATAGTGCATACATCAGGTCTCATAATGTTTTACAATTTTTTTCAAAACGGTACCCCTCAAGGATGGATAAAATGGCCTTTTTGACTTTCGAAATTTGGGGGAAAGGGTTTGAGGGGGCTATTAAACCCCCCAAACAACAATTTTCAGCCATAATTGTGGATGTTTTGTGATCAATTGGATCAAAAGAAAAATTTGGGCGGAAATTTTTTTCGTTGAAGTTCTTCAATTTGTGCATTTGTTGATACTTGGTTGCTGAGAAAGTTTGGGCGGAAATTGGGTGTTGATTTGGGGAAGTTTAGGCGAACTTGTGACGACAAATCGAGGATTTTAAGGGCTGTGAAGAAATCGACACTTGCTTCAACATGACTTGATAAATGATGATGATTGTATTGACTCTTCTAGAGCTTGACTTTATAACTCTTTAATCTTTATGGACTTTTGTTTGTAGTATTTTTTAACTTCAAAGTTTGTGGTTGTAGATTTGTGCTTATGGTTGTTGATTGTTGAATGTTTTATGAAGCTAGTTTCAAGTTTTTAATTTCTATCAGGGGATAGTGGATACAAAATCTCCGGCAGCTAATACTTTTGGAATTAATGAATACCTACGGTCACATATATCACCTGCATATTTCTTTTCTATGGATTACCCTATGTTTTTAAATATTTTAGAATTTTTCTATATTTATTGACTGCATTGCCGCGATGCACTCGCATCCGGACCGCATCGTTCCCCCATCGCTTTCTGCCGTATCCCGTAGTTTAAAACACTGTCATATGTTTGTATATGAAAAAACACTGTTTAAAACTCAGTGCACCGATCTGGAATCAGGCAATCTGGATCGGGAATTGGTTGAGCCGTTTCGGATTTGTATTGCAGGCCCCACAATGCAATGAATGCCCCCAGGCTGGGCATTGCCAGTCAAGTACGAGCTATTCATAACATCTGCCTTACTTCTTTTAAAGAGCTTTATGCTTACAAAAATCAACGATGTGGGACAATTACTTCATGCGGGGAGCAAAGAGAGAGAATTAATTACAATGCAACGAATGGTAGGTTAATGAAATTACTTACAATGCAACGAATGCCTTAGGCTTTAAGGCAAGCAACGCAAATTAATTAAGTGATACAATTAAATTTGTTGGCTAATATTAGGCTAATTAAATTTGTTAGCATAGCATATGGTATGCTAATTGAATTTGTCACCATATGCACATAAACTAATTAAATGACTAATATAAAAACTATATGGTAAGTTTTGTTACCATATTAAAATTAATTAAATGACTAATATGAAAACTATATGGTAGGTTTTGTTACCATATTATTATTATTATTTTTTGCAGATGTTGTGGATGTAATTAAATTTGTCACAACTTAAATTAATTAAATGACTAAATATGGAGACAATATGGTAGGTTTTGTTACCATATATGTATTTTTTTTGCAGCTGCTGTGCGTGTTGCCGAGAGGCAATTTTTTTTAAAATTTTGATATCTTAATTTTTCATTTTTTAAGGTAAAAATATTTTTTTGAATTTCTTTTAATGTTGGGGTTTTTTTTTTGTTTTTACTCATATAATATGGAAGCTTTTTCTAATAATTTTTTAATTACATTTATTATAAAATTATAATTAATAATTATACATAGATAATTAAATCTTATATTTTATTTATTCTTTGATTTACATTATAAGTTATGTAATGTATTATTTTTCTTATAGTTGTAAATAAATTTTTTTTTTTAAATTAGATGATATTATAAGACATTTTAGATTTATTCTTATTTGCATAGTAAAATAATTAAAAAATATAAACCAACAATTTCAATTTGAGTATATAATATTGCAGTTAATTATATAATTTTGGATGAGTAAAGTGAATTAATAATGTTTGATACTTTGATGTGATACTAATTCCACTTTATATGAGAAATTTATTTTTTTAATTTTATAATATGGAAGTGTTTTCTAATAGTTTTAAATTATTTTGATGTAATATTATATTAATAATAATAATAATATAGACATCCAGACCGGAAAACGTCTCAGTATTCACCTATTTTTACAAAGTAATTTAAGTATATAAGTACCACTCTTAACTTCTTTGAGAAACTAAAAGAACACTAGTTTTAGAGATTTATAGTGATTTTTTGAAAACATTTTGGGACAAAAATTGCCGATTCGGATGATTCTTCGATCCGATCAACCGATTCCCCAATCTGACACGGGTATGGGTGTGACCGATTCGAATCACCGATCCGTTTTTTTAAACCTTGTGAAAAAGTATGTTACAATATCGATTCCCCAATCCGACACGGGTATGGGTGTGACCGATTCGAATCACCGATCCGTTTTTTTAAACCTTGTGAAAAAGTATGTTACAATATTTTCAAATGCAATAAATTTCAAAAGTGACACAAATATATGTATATATATTGTATATCTATAGAATTTGTAGTATAGGGCGCCTGCCTAGGTGTTGGGTGCTGGGTGCCAGGCTGTTTGCCTAGGGGCTGCCGAACATTTTTTGAAACATTGCATTCTAGACGCCTGACTGATGATTCTCTCAAGATCAAACCATTGGTTTCTACCTGATCCCATTATCATCAAATGCAAGTTTGATGCTGCTCCCTAAGAAATCTAGGACCAGCGTGTATCAGGGGCCTATTTAGAAATAGGTCGGCTCGTCTTATTACTGTTATATCCAGGTCCAATTGGTACAGCTAACACTACTTTGGTCTAGACAAAGGCCTTATTGGGAGGCCTGAAACTAGTTGACACAAGCTGGAACCACTTAATTGTTGTTGAAGGGACTCCAAGAATGTAATTGCTTGGGCAAAAAGAGCCTCCTCATGCCCCTGGAGATTGATTTCATGTAATGGTCGTATGGTAATATAATGAAACCACTTTTTTAGATAACCATGTTTGTAGCATTTCTATGACCTAAAAATTTCACGTATCCTCTCTTCATTCGAATAGTCAATTTTCAAAAAATCAATTTCAATTTTCATCTTAGATATGGGTAAAATGAGTTCCCACCAACAATGAATCTAGACCATCCATTTGGTGAATTTCAAAATATGAGGCTTTACAAACTCAAAACCATTTTTTTTCTCTTTGAACATTGTTCATCTAATGATAACAAAGCTATATAAAATTTTAAAAAGAGAAAAATCCTTCTAAGGCCTAGATCTAAGCATGATAACAAAATGGGCGGCTTATGTTAATTGGGCTAAAAAAATATTTTCTAGGGTGTGTTTTCAAATTTTGTTTTTTTATTATTGTTCATTAGAATGAAAATAGCATATATTTAAAAACTCAAGTCAAACAAATGGCATGAACATGGTTTCTGAAGATTGTTTCATTGTATTACTATACAATATTACTATACTACCATTTCATGAAATCATTTCCCTATATATATATATATATACATATATATGTGCGTATATATTTATAAATTGTGTCTGTATATATGTGCATGTGTGGATGCATGTGTGTGTGTGTGTGTGTCAATATATATATATTATATCAAATAAAATGCCTCTTTTGAACATGGCTTGTTCTTCATGCAGACGTCATTGTGGAATAATCTCCATCCCGACCAAGTCATAGGCACTCCAGCTGTCATCAAAGAAATCGATTGTCTGACTGCCACTGTAGATGATATTCGTAATGTTCAAGCAGAATTCACATCATCCATCACCATAGAGAGGAGCAGGCTTTGTGGATTTGCTGGGTGGTTTGATGTTCATTTTCTGGTAACCATTCCTGTCATGTATAAAAGGGCAAATATCAGGATGCTACGTGGAATTACTGCATAAACCATTCAGGTAGTCCTGAGATTTAAAAAATAAATAAAATAAGAACGGAACCTAACTGCTCAATTTTTCTCTTTTCTTTTTTATTTTTCTTTAGTAGCGGACAAGTGAGGGAAAAATGTAAGATGGATAGGGATAATAGACATTTAAATTTTTTTCACAAGTCTAGGAACTATCTTCATATTTCACAAGTTAGGACTACGTCCATGAGATATGAAGTTCTCCTGATCAATTTCATATTCCCTCTTTTTTTACCAAAGCAGTCGAAAAACTAGGGCTTCAACCTCCTCACCAAAGAATTGAACATATACATACTTTGGAAGATTTGGCTTTTTGTCTCTTGGGTGTTTCTGGTCTGGCTCAAATAGGGCAAGGGATGGGACCAAAAGGACATGGTTGAAAGTTATGAAAAAAGATATAGGGACTCGTGGCCTCACTGAGTCCTTGATAAAAGCACAACAGCAGACCAGGATTCGTGTAGCCTACCCCAGTTGGGAAAAGGCTTTGATGATGATGATGATGATCGTGTTTTTGGTCTCTTCGCGTAATTATTTGGCTCATTTTTTTTTCAATTTTCTAAAACTTTTTAGTACTTCCATGATAAAAACGATCAAGGTCTTTTCTTCCATGACGAAACCAAAGCATGCTCTGAACCAAACCTAACAACATTAATCCTGATTTTTTCCCTTCCTTATATAGTTGTCTTAGATTCTCTGTCGCTTCTGTGCCTTTGCCTCGACAATATCCGCTATCTTTTGTCTTTTTTGGTATGGTCCTCAGGGAAGTCCGGCCAACCCGGCGAAGAATGAGATTGAGTTGAACACGGCTCCAAGCGAAGAGGATGGTACACATTGGGGCCAACAGGTCTGTACTACTACTTCTACAAAATCAAACTACGATTACGAGTTTGGTCCCTTACATTAGAAAATTTAAAAATTTCCATCACTATTCTTAAACTGCTATTATTGGCCCTTGCCTTCTCTACTTACTGGTTATTTACTGATTATAAGACTGCTATAAAGATGTCTATGTGGTTTTTTGATCATCAATTGTTTTGTTATGAATGTGGGTCTCACTATGCAGGTATTCCTCTTACATCCATCTCCCCGTGTGAGTCATGGTGATGCCATAAAGGTATCATTTCTGATGACTCGTTCTGAAGAAAACCATCGGTTAATGAATGTCTCTCTTTCGTATGAGATGGTGCAACCCTGTGGGACGTCACACTCACGTGTAACATCAAAGTTTTATATTGAATGAAGGGTTGGAACGTAACCACGGTGACCAAAGCGTGGTTACATTACCCTGATGGTGTATAGTAGTGCACTGTGCAATACTCTTTCCTGGGTAATCTTTATAGATGGCAAGTTTGCTTGTTGGATCTTCTTGTAAGGTTTGGACAATGGGATCCTCGATTTGGAGCCATGTTATTGTGGCTAAATGCATATAAATTAATGGATTATATTATGTCTCATTCACCTTTTTGTTGGTAATTTAAGAAGCAAATAAGTTTTGAATGTGGGTGGTATGTTTTTCCTATCTGATCGCTTCCAGCTAGTCTATTGTCATGATCGTTCCGTCCACTCTTTGAATGATGGATATGTATCTTGGACACATTTTCTGGTCTGTCCACTCTTTGAATGATGGATACGTAACTTTTTGGGTGGGTCTGGGACTCATTTTCTGGGATTTTTTTTCTTCTTTTGATGAAAACATTACCTCTCTCTCTCTCT